ACATCTCAGCCTCCAAATCCACATCCGACTCGATAGAACCAATGTCCTCGTCGGACGATCGGCGGCCACCTGGACAGCAGCCCCCGCCACTGGCGCCGCCGTCAGATGAGAAAGAAAAAGATGACAGCGACCCCGAATCGGAAGGCGGATACATGTGATCACTGCCACCATTGGAGTCCGACCCGGGGTCTGGTTCAGGCTCAGCTCCCCCCTCGGGATCCTCGCCCAGAACGCCTCCGCCCAGGCCCGACAACACCTCGTCGATCGCCTCGTCGTCACAGATAGCATGCGGAGCCTCTGCACCTCCCCCGCGCCCTGGGCCAGGGCCCCGTCCACGACTGTCTCCTCGCCCTCGGCCCTTCCCTCTGCGCGCCAGCCTCCGAGCCTCCTTGGCGTCCTCGAGCTTCTTGATCTCGACCTCCATGCCGCCCCACACGGCGATGGCGGGGTAGAAGTCGTCTTCCAGCTGCAACCTCGCAACACGTTGCCTCCAAGGGGAAATGCGGTGAACTCGCACACGCCGCTGGCCGACGAGCCTGTAGAACACGATGTTGAACGGCCCGTCCACGGCCAGCAAGTCGAGGCAAACTTTCCAGACGTCGATGAAATCTGGAGACTCGCCGCTCTGGACAGGCTGGACGCCGATCAAGTCGCCGCGATCCTCAGTAGGAAGACGAGCCATGCGGCAGAACGTCGGATAGACCGTTGGTTGCCCCCGAAGCCTGGCAACACGCAGCCACACATCATCCTGTAGAAGTGGAGGCCCCGCGGATGAAGGAGCGGCCTCGATCTTGACAACCAGCAGTGGGACGCCGCTGACAACATTCTTGAAGCCCGTCTTGGCCCCGAGCTTGGCCTTCAAGGCACGGAGGGAAGCGCGAACGCGAGCCACGAAAAGCCTGATGCACATGCCGAGGTCCCCCTGGCAGACGCATCGGCCAGCCTCGAAACAATCTGGCCGATTGATCGGGACAGCTCCGATCTTCTGGAGGTGCGGCGTCATGATCTGCGCGTGCATCCTCCTCCACTCCCGCGCTGCAGACGCCAAAGTAAAATCGCCGACGACTGTGCCAGAAGCCTCGATCACCTGGTCGGTGCTCATGTCCATAGTCACGAAGGTGGAGTTGGCGTGAGCATGCTCGGTCTGAAAATTGGTCTGCTGCATCTCCGCGCCCATCACGTGCCACGATCTCGAGGTGCCTGCGCAACCCCCACCCACCCGCGCCACCCATCCCCTGGAGCAGCCCCCCCGTAAGCCATAACCAAGTAATGGGGGGAGCGGGTGGCCAAGGGTTGCACGGGCACCCAGCTGCGGCCTCAAGGTCTCCGAAAGCGCATCCCGATCAGGAGCGCCAGCTGAAACCTCCCTCTCGATCGCCGCCTGCTTGGCGATCAGCTCGCGGTTCGCCTGTCGCTCACGGTGCAGTTTGGCCCTGAAGTCGTGCATGCAAGCCTTGTAGTTTGCCAGCTCAAGGCGACGATCCTCGGCAACGTCAGCTGGGTCTGCATCTTCGATCGGCAGCGCAGCGGCATCATGGAGTTCACAGTCTTCCAGTGGCAGGGGATCTCGCCGAGCTCGTTTCCGAGGTCTCGAGATCTTGCCGCCATGCCTGGCAATCGTGGTGAGGACGCGACCCAGTTGCTCATAGTAGGCCATCTCGTCGCCCGAAAGGCTCGCGTAGCGGAGGGAAAGTTCAGCAACAGACTCAGCCTCGAACGACTGGCCAGCACAATGCAAAAATGCTCGCCACGATCCCACGCTCCGAACTCGTGCTTGGGCAGGCGCGTCCTCGCACTCGGGCTGCACGTGCTGCCGCTGGCGGAGCGTCGTGCCCTTGGCCTTGGGCTGCACGCGCCATAAACTCGTGGCAACCTCCTCGGCAAAAAATACCTCCGCACTCAGGTCCGCGATGTGCTTCTTGTTGGTGGTCGTGGAACCTGTCTTCTTCGCCTGCACAGAATGCTTTCGCTCTGTCGAGCTCGTGTCCGCGTCAGTCACCAGATTCACTGCTGTCAGCTCTGCCCTCGCACCCGCTCCGTGCAAGTCTGCGCGGTGAAACTTCAGGAAACTATTCGTGTAGGCGTCCAGCGTGTTGGGGCATTCCTTCGCGAGCTCGTCCAAGAGCCTGGGATATTTCAAACCTGCCAGCGTGATGCACGGCGCCTTGGCGCATCTCTGGATGACCAGTTCATGCCCAGCAGCGCCGAGACGGATGCTCATGAGGTAGGCCTTCAACTGCAGCTCCTCGTCACGTCGCTGGATGAGGTCGCACTCGGAGACATTGAACACCATGCTGGCAATGCCATTCATGAGCTTCTTATTGTCGTCGCCGTCGAACTGCACGATTGCCTGGTAGTCACGAGCGCCCCCCCGTAGAAAGCGAGCCTGCTGCTCACGCTCGAAGGACGCGCTCGACGACCGCAACTGGCGAAGCACCCACTGCGTAGAATGCTGCAGGCACAGTCGGAACATCACCAAATCATCCTGGAACGATCCGCTGGCGAGCCAGCTGGCAGTCCGCGACTTGCGGTCTGAGTCGTCCTCGGCCCACAAGTTCTCGTCGTCGTCGAGGTGGTGCGCGTCCTCCGCGCCCGCGAGACCGTCGGCAGGTCCAGGAAACCCGCCTGGTGGAAGCATCGCCCTCCGAACCCAAACCGCCCGCCCCCCCCTCCCCCCTAGGGGGTGCTCGGCTCGGGGTTCGAGGGAGGGCCAGGGGGAGGGCGAGGGCGAGGGGGCGGAGCAAGCAGCGGGGGGGCGAGGGGGTGCTCCGGTAAGACTTAAAGGAGGGGGCGGGCTCGAAGGGGAAGAGGAGGGAGGGCGAGGACTGCGAAGGGGGAGGATGGAGGACGGTGCGATTTGGGGCGGGGGGCGATGCTTCCACGGGGGCCGACGTTCGGCAGACGACGACGACGACGACGACGACGATAACGACGACGACCTGCAATCACGTCGACGTTCGCGACTCTGCAGTAAGCCGCGGGGAAGATGCCGAACACCAGAGTCGGCAGCAACACCTGGTCCACGGTGGCGTCGCTGCCCGTCCAGTTGTTCCTCTGCAGTACCTTCCACGACCTCCGAGGCATAAGACACTGCAAACCAATCGAGCACATCATTTTCACAAGTCTGGACCTCCCGAGACCGCTCTTGTCAACAACTCGAAATACATCGTGCCTCGACCAATCACCAAAAAACAACGTCGAGACAACGTGCCTGCGATATCGGTCGCACGGCGTAGGTCCACCCATACAGAGATTCAATGTTTTATCCATGATCTGGAGGGCCTCTGCACTCAAGGACTCGATGGGGACGAGCACAACTCTTTCTTGAATGATCGACCTGGCAGCTGCTATGACATATCTGCTGTGGGCCCCTTGCATTGACAACTGCAACCTGATGAGCTTCGAATCGATTGGCTTCTGTACTTTATTAAACTCACCAGTGCACTGTGCTTTTTTGTGAGCGAGACAAAGCAAATCTAACGTGACTTCCTTGTCGCTGGACTTTTGTCGAAGGTGCCGCTCTGCTTTCATACTCGGGGCGCCCTCGTCGTGGCACGATATGTTCACAAGCCTTTCCACAGCATTCGAAACAGAAACTTCGCCATCGAACGACTGGAGCCTCAAACTCTGGACAACCGTCTCGGAATTGTTGCTGTCGAATGATTGCAAGTGAGACGGCAACCGACCCAACATAGTGAAGTGTTGCTGACCGTTGCCACCAGCGCGTCGCAGAATCAGAGCCCAGGCAAACTCCGTGACCATAATTTTGCGTTTGCTCTTGACGTCGTCGAGGTGGCCGCGTCGATCCTGAATCGCCAGGGCGCTCTCACTCTTACTATCGCCGCTCACAGGAGGCACGGGCACAATGCAGAGCTGCTGGGCTTCGTCGTACTTCCTGCGGCGGATGTACACTGCAGCACGGGTGGAACCAGGCCCCTGGCCGCACCGAAGAACTGCACTCTGCAAAAATCTGGAAATACATTGCCGCAGACTGCGAAAGAGATAAAAGGCGCTCGCCCGAGCGTGTTCAATCAAACTCCTCGTATCAGTGCCATAACGTGCAGCTCTTGATCTCGTCGTGCTCTGTACATCTAACTGGAACGTGCCACACGCATCTCGACATATGTCCACACGATGCTGGCGCGCCCTCTCCACCACCGCTTCTGCGCGTGAGCGCGCAGCAGGGGCAACAGCGACAGGACCTGCTGCAACACATGCTTGGTCAGGAGCTGGCGCCACGATAGCATCGTTCTGCACAGAGACCTGGCCATCGGAGACGGGCGCGCCAACGTTCCAGTCATCGTCGGACGCCGCCCCAGCCGCCGCGCAGCCAGGGCGATCACCATCATGAGTATCGTTCCAGTCGTCCGACGAAACACTCATAACAAACCATTTCAGATATTCACAGAAAAACAAGGTGATGGAGACAAGGCCGCAAGTCGCATTCGAATCGAAACGGCGGCGGAAAGCATAGCTGTGGAGGAGGGGGGGAGAGCCAATATGACCCTTTGGAGGACCTCTTGGAAGCCGATTGGGCCGTCTTGGAGAACCTCTTGGACCGTCTTGGACAACCTGTTGGGGGCCTCTTGGGCAGTCTTGAAGGCCATTTTGGGGCCTCTTGGGAATCCTGTAGGACCCCTATTGGTCTCTTGGGAACCCTGGAGGCCCCTGGAGTCCATCTTGGGGCCCTCTTGGGAACCCTGGGGTCTTGGGGCTTCTTGGGGTCTTGGGGCCTTAAGAGGGCCTCTTGGAGAACCTGTTGGGGCCTCTTGGATGTGTCTCGGAGGCCTCTCGTGCCCTCAGACTGGGCGGGAGGGGAGGAGCAGGGGCGAGGACATGAGTGAAAAGCGTGATGAGGACGGGGAGGATGATGAGGGGGATAGGCTTTAAGGAGTGGGGAGGACAGGGAGAAGTGTGACGTAGGGGTGGAGCACGAGGGGAGGGATGAGGGAGGGCAAGAGGATATGTACGGATTTCTGCTGCATTGAGAAGTGAGGGGCACGGGAATGGAGGAGATACTGGCTCTGCGCTTGAATACCCTTACTGTGCCAAAATCGCACGTCCTGCATCCACCTCGCTGAAAACGAGAATCGCGCTGCCGTCAACAATTGCAAATCCGCCGAGCTCGATTTCGAGCTCGCCAGGCGCCGAAAAAAAACAAGGTTCCAGGAACCATACTGGGGCCCATATCTCAGAAAAACCAGATGTGCGATCCACCAAGGACCAGCGTTTCGGGGACACCTCGGAAACCATCTCCCGACCATATCTTCGGAAACCCCTCTTAGCTTGATTCCCGTTCTTCTACATCGGCGACGCCATCGCGGAGAAAATCGGGATCCACATCGAGCCGCATCGCCGATGCATCAGCGATGCAGCGGGATCCTCCGACCCCATCCATCCACTCGGACCCCATCTGGGAGGCCTACAAATCTATACTCATGCATTTTAAACTGTTTTCCCCTGTTCCTCCTCCTCCTCCTCCTCCTCCTCCTCCTCCTCCTGCTTCTCCTCCTCCTTCTCCTCCTCCTCCTTCTCCTCCTCCTCGGGCCCCATCCGGGAAGCCTAGAGTCTGTGCTGAAACGACTGCAGCGGCCAGGGCCCGGTGCCAAGGCCGAGGCCATGGTAGCCGCCCACGTCTTCGACAAAGGTTCCCGGTGGAGCGCTGAGGGGGGAGCGGCATGGGGTGGGGGGGGGCCGATGTTCCCCCCCCGTGAGCCAGCATCGCCGAAAGATCGGCGATAGATCGGCGATATAGAAGGATCGGCGATAGAACCGGCGATGGAAACGGCGACAAATCGCCGAAACATCGGCGGTAAGATCGGCCTGGCATCGGCGATAAATCGCCGACATATCGGCGATGTAAAGAGGGAGAAAAGTCGGGTGTTGCCAGGGGTGCCCCGGGAGGCCCCGACGGCCTCCAGGGCACCCCTCACGAGGCCCAGAGGGCCCCGGGGGGCCTCAGGATTGATGGGCCCTGGGAGCACATTCAGCAACCTCCGAGAAGAAAAACAAAAAAACGCGTGCACAGAAGCTGTCGGAGCTCCGCGCGGATTCCGGATGATTTCTCACATCTGCACCAAGCCCCCAAGCTAACGCGCAAAAGACGCCCAAAACGGCGCCGGAAACGCCGCCAACAAAAACCCAGCGCCGATCCAAAGGATCCACGCCGAGCTCCGACAATTGATGTTCATGCAATTCTTCTTGTGTTCGACGATGGGCACCCGATGGCGAAGCCGCACGTTCCCGGGGCGGACTGGGCCGGCACTGCGCTATCGACGATGAGTGGGCGATTGGGGGCCTCCTCCTCCTCCTCCTCCTCCTCCTCCTTCTCCTGTTTCTCCTCCTTCGCCACCTCCTCCTCCTCCTCCTCCTTCTCCTCCTCCTCCTCCCTCCCCTCCTCCTCCTCTTCCTGCTTCTCCTCCTTCGCCTCCTCCTCCTCCTCCTCCTCCTCCTCCTCCTCCTCCTCCTCCCCTCCTCCTCCTCCTCCTCCTCCTCCTCCCTCCTCCTGCTTCTCCTCCTTCGCCGCCGCCTCCTCCTCCTCCTCCTCCTCCTCCTGACCCTGTCCTCCCCTGAGGTTGCCCTGGACTTTTCGCTCCTGAGTTTTCGTTGGCGGCGCGCACAGGGGGGTAGGGGGAGGGGGGAGGGCTTCTCAGGAGGAGGCTGTTCCTTAGAAGGCGCCGGCCCTACCTCTGTAGACAAGGCCCGCGCCTTCCAGGAAGCAGGGGTGCAGCCTTCCCCCCTCCCCCCACCCCCCTCTGCCCGTGGCTGATTTCGGGTCAGAACTCGGGCCTCCTGCGGTTGTTCGAGACGATCTGGGCACATTCGGACTCCTTTCGGCGAGGCGCAGCCGCTGGAAGGCGTCCCGAACTTGAAAGACCCCGAGGATATGGCGACAGTGCCCGAAAACCCACAACACCTCGGACCCGATCAGGCGTATCCCCCCTGACGGTGCCCCTGACGCTATCCCCATTACGCTGCCGCTGAGGTTTTGGGACATAAGTCGGCTCCCTGGCGGCCCGTCGCGACGGCTCCGGCCCCCCCAAAACGCCCTCTGCAAGGAGCAGCTGATGAAGACCACCCCGGGCCCAGAAAAAGATCGAACAACTCCAGCAACTATCGAAAACTCCCCCCTGAGCCCCCCACAGTGGAGGCCAGTCCACAAGAAACCTTCCACAAGGACCCCAACCCTAAGACCCCAGGACGTTCATCGACTCTTGCTGTGGGAACGTCACGCCTCCCATCGCAAAACCATCGAAACCCTGGGAACCCAGGGCACCCTGGAGGCAAGCAGGGTGCTTCATGGCATGGGCCTCCACTGTATCGAAAACTCCCCCCTGAGCCCCCTTCACGATGCCCGCTCCTGGCGGGAGCAGCACAGCCCACCCCACCCCCAGGCCAGGGCTGACAGACGAGGGGGGAAACTTGCTCGGTCGAGCGAGGACATCTCGGTGGGCGAGCGGGGAAACTCCTTGCACCGAGCGAGGAAATTCGGAAGGGCGAACCAAGGAATTTGTTCAGTTGAACGAGGAATCTCTCGGGCGAGCGATGCGAATATATCGAACTCGGAAAGTTCGCTGCCAAGCGAAGGAATTCTGGACGCCGAGGTGGAAAATTCCGGGTGAAAACCTCCAAACACATCGACGAACTGAAACCGTTAAATTGAAACCTGATCTCGGCCCCGGCGCACATCAAGAACAAGGGGCGACTCGGAATTTTCTGGACGCTCTGGGGGGGAAGCTTCCCAACTCATCAAGAGGCTGGAAAGCCTGTGTGAAGGCCTCATCCCGCCGCTGCAGCTGAAAACCCAACGCCCATCAGGGACAACCAGCCGTGAACAAAACCGTTTCTTCGACCACCCCTCCCCCTTGAAGCCTCCCTGTCTCGGTATACAGCGGAGATATGGATAAGTCAAGGAAGCGGTTCGCCCTGAACTTGCTCCGCGAGCACCCAATTCAGACGCTTGAGTGCAACACGCCTGTCCGAACTTCGAAAACTCAACCCGTCTCGAAACGAGTCTCGGTCACCCCGAATCTTCAGCTTTGGGGCGGGACCCGCTGATGTCGGCAGCGGATCCGCGCGCGTCCGCGTACACTTCGCGGAGAGCACGCGAGCACGAGAACGAGAACTCCAGACGGCAAAACACGATGATGACGACAACGACGCCAAGCTCTGACTACCTGTGCGACCACCCTTCGGGTGATGAGGAGGTTGGGGAGGGAAAAGAGAACTTGAGCGGAGAACACGAACATCGGAGGTTGGGGGGTGAGATCGAAGTGGAACGGAGAGCCCCCCTACCGGGAAATCGATTTCGGTTTCGTGTTCGTGCGTGCCGTGCGGGCGAGGCGAAGCTGCGTGGGCGGGCGAGAGAAAGTCTCCTGTGGTTGAGGCGCGGCCGGAGCAAAAAAACCTTGACCGGGCGGCCGGTGCCCCGCGGTGTCCCGCCGGTGTCCCGCTGGTGTCCCCCCCCCAACCTCCTTATCACCCGCAGGGTGGTCGTATAGGTAACTCGTTATATTAGGACGGCCCCACCTCACTTTGCACCGCCTCCGCCCCTCCCCCCCCCCGCCAACCAATAGGAAGGCGGGGGAGGGGGAAGTTGAGAGGACCAGGGCCCGAAAAAGCCATTGTAAAGAACAACACACAAACTGATGGCAACTGCCATGGTTGTGATGATGACGATGCTGGTGATGCGCCCTCGACGGGACACCACCAGGACACCACCAGGACACCATCGGGACACGGCTCGGGGCACCCATCGGCACACCACCAAGACACCATCGAGACACCATTGAAACGCCACCAGGACACCGTCAGGACACCAATCGGGGCACCAATCGGAACACCAATCGGGACACCAATCGGGACACCAATCGGGACACCGACGGGAAACGGTGGCGGAACAACCCGGCCACCGCCCGCCCAGCGTGAGAGAAAGAGAGAGAGAGAGAGAGAGAAGCCGCGCCCTGACGGCGCATCGGAAAAGCACAGTAAGCCTTGAAGACGCGCCTGCACGGTTACATTTAGCGATTACGTTTAGGTCGAGCATGTCCCCCTACAGGCGGATTTTGGACGATATATCAAAAATGATCAAAAAATACCAAAAGTGCCGTATAGTCCAAGAATCGTCCCCAGAGTATGTTTGGACTGTCTTAAGCATTCCTCCTGGACACGCCCGACTGGACAGCAAACCTTAAAAGGCGCCCCTGCACGACGACGTGCTGCAAGGGCAGCCGAGCGGGATGCCGAGCTCAGTACAGGGCCTCGGGGCTCGCAGGTCGGACACTGCTTCGTCCCAGCGCGCCGCGAGGGTGAGCTGCACAGGTCGCTCTCTGAAGGGGGGGGGGAGGGAGGGGAGGGGAGGGGGAAGGAGGGAAGGGAGGGGGAGGGGAGAGGGAAGGGAGAGGAGGGAAGGAGGGAGGGAAGGAGGGAAGGAGGGAAGGAGGGGAGGGAGGAAGGAGGGAAGGGAGGGGGGAGGAAGGGGAGGGACGGAGGGAAGGGGGGAGGGAAGGAGGGAAGGGAGGGGGAAGGGAAAGCAGGGGAGGGGAGGTACTATCGGCAAACTTCCCCTGCGGCCCTGAGCCTAGCGGGGGCGATGATGATGAGACAATGCTATGCCACAAGGACTGCACCTTACCTGCCAGGATAGATCAGGCGTGCAAGCACATACAAAAACAGAGCAAAATGATTCCAGCAAAGACGGAAGGTGTTGCCACCAACAATTAGTGCGAAACACAAGAACGCGGGGCTCAGAATGCACTACCGAGCTGTGCCGCGCACCCACTGCACACTAGATGGTGTATCATGCGTGTGGCCAAAGATGTAATTGTTTTCTCGTTTGTTCTGTTACCGGCCTCGTGACCCCCACATCCCCCCGGCACCGGGGGCGACCCCAGCAAGGCCATCCTGACCTGACCACAAACTGAGGATGTAGCTTACGGCGCTGGTTCTCAAAAAACAAGCTTTCGCGTGAGACATCCTCAGAAAAATGAGATGTTGCAGATCGGGCGTCGGATATCCAACATGGTGTGGAGAAGCGTTTCGCTTGAGACAGCCTCGCAACAAGGCGTTGTTGGAAGAGTTGCCTTACGACGCGAATTCTCAAACATGAAGCGTTCGCCTGAGACATCCTCAGAAAATTGAGATGTCGGAGATCGGGCGTCGGATATCAGGCATGGCGTGGAGGAGCGTTTCGCTTGAGACATCCTCGCAACAAGGCGTTGTTGGAAGAGTTGTCTTCTAACGTTGATGCTCAGGAATGAAGCGATCGCCTGCGACATCCTCAGAAAAATTAGATGTTGGAGATCGGGCGTCGGATATCCAACATGGCGTGGAGGAGCGTTTCGCCTGAGACATCCTCAGAAGATGGGGATGTTGGAGGAGTTGTCTTACGGCGCTGCTTCTCAAACAGAAAACTTTCGCCTGCGACATCCTCAGAAACATGAGATGTTGGAGATTGGGCGTCGGATACCCACCATGGTGTGGAGGAGCGCATCGCCTGAGGCATCCTCACAATATGGGGATGTTGGCGGAGTTGTTGCACGACCTCGATCCTCAAAAAGAAAGCTTTCGCCGGAGAAGTCATCGGAAAATTGAGATGCTGGAGATTGGGCGTCGGTTATCCGACATGGTCTGGACAAGCGTTTCGCCTAAAACATCCTGACAAAATGGGGATGTTGTAGGAGCTCGCTTACGACGTTGATCCTCAGAACGAAAGCTTTCGCCTGAGACATCCTCGGAGAAATGAGATGTCGGAGATCGGGCGCCGGATATCCATCATGGTGTGGAGGAGCGTTTCGCCTGAGACATCCTCACAATAAAGAGGATGTTAGGGGATTTGTCTTACGGCGCTGGTTCTTCAAATTAAAGCTTTCGCCTGAAACATCCTCAAAAATGAAATGTTGCAGATCGGGCGTCGGATATCCATTATGACGTGGAGGAGCGCATCGCCTGAGACATCCTCCCAATATGGCGGATTCCCGTTTGTCCTGTCAGCAGCCTCTCGGTCCCCGGCTTCACCCATCACAGGGTGCGACCCCAGCAACACCTTCCACACTGCCACTGTCAAACGGAAAGACCTTACAATGACATCAACAGGAAATTGTCGCCTGAGACATCCTCAGAAAAATGAACATGTTGGAGATCGGGCGTCGGACATTCAAGATGGCGTGGAGGAGCGTTTCGTTGCAGACATCCTCACACAATGGCGTTGTTGGAAGCATTATCTTACGACGCGAATGCTCAAGCATGAGGCTTTCTCCTGAGCCATCCGCAGAACAATGAAGATGTTGGAGATCGGGCGTCGGATATCCAACATGGTATGGAGGAGCATTTCGCTTGAGACATCCTCACAAAGTGCCGTTGTTGAAAGAATTGTCGTACGAAGCGAGTTTTCAAACTTGAGGCTCTCGCCTGCGACATCCTCAGAAAAATGAGATGTTGGAGATCGGGCGTCGGATATCACACATGGTGTGGAGGAGCATTCCGCTTGAGACATCCTCGCAAATGGCGTTGTTGGAAGAGTTGTCTTACGACGCGAATTTTCAAACATGAAGCGCTCGCCTGAGACATCCTCAGAAAATTGTGATGTTGGAGATCGGGCGTCGGACATCAGACATGGCGTGGAGGAGCGGTTCGCTTGAGAAATCCTCGCAACAAGGCATTGTTGGAAAGGTGGTCTTACGACACGAATTCTCAAACGTGAGGCTCTCGCCTGAGCCATCCGCAGAACAATGAAGATGTTGAGAGATCGGGCGTCGGGTATCCAGAATGGCGTGGGGATGCGTTACGCTTGACACATCCTCACAAAGTAAAGATGTTGGAGGAGTCGTTTTACAGCGTTGGTTCTCAAAATTGAAGCTACCGCCAGAGACATCTTCAGGAAATCGAGATGTTGGAGATCGGGCGTCGGGTATCCAGCATGGCGTAGAGGAACGTCTCGCCTGAGACATCCTCACAATATCTGGATATTGGAAGAGTTGTCTTACGACCCGAATTCTCAAATTGAAGCTTTCGCCTGATACACCCTCAGAGGTTGGAGGCCGGTCTTCGGATATTCAGCATTGCGTGTGTGGGGGGGGGAGGGGCGTTTCGCCTGAGACATCCTCACACAATGGGAATGGTGGAAGAGTTGATTTACGTCATTGGTTCACCTAGTAGTGAAGCTCTCGCTTGACACATCCCCAGGAAAACGATATGTTGTAGATCGGGCGTTGCTAGAAGACTTGTCTTACGACCCGAATTCTCAAAATGAAGCTTTCGCCTTGGACATCCTCAGAAACGTGAAAATGTTGGAGATCGGGCGTCCGACATCCAACACAGCGTGGGAGGGCGTTTCGCCTGAGACATCCTCACAAAGTGGCGATGTTGGACAAGTTGTTGTAGGACGCTTTGTTCTGAAAAAAAGAAGCGCTCGCCTTAGACATCATCAGGAAATGAAAAGGATATCCAACATGGTGTGGAGGAGCGTTTCGCCTGAGACGCCATCGCACCATTGGGGTGCTGGCGGAGTTGTGTTACGACGTTGGTCCTCAGAAACACTTACCCGTTCGCTTAAGATGTATTTAGGAAGTTGAGATGTTGAACGTGGGCATTGGATATCAAACTCGGTGTGGCTGGACGTTTCGCTGCGGACATCCTCAGAAACATGTTCAGTAAGCTCCCGAACTCGACGCGCCTTCAAGAGCTGGGCTCTCGTCCGAGACATCCTCAGTGAGGATGTCTCGGACAAGAGCCCATGTGTGAGGATTCCTCACAAATGGAAGCGTCACCAGAGAAGTCTGACAGCAGATTACTTGACATGAACTCCTTACTAGGTTCGTGGGCCCCTCAAACTTTCAGCATCTTGACGCACATGCCTCGCAGTGCGGTGCCCGCCTACTGTGAGCCATGACGCGGGGCAATGGGGAGGCCAGGCGCCCTCCGCACATGTCAATCGCACATGCCAGACACTCTCACCAAGAAGCTTGTCGCGGGGGGGCGCAACCAGGGGCCCTCCAGAAGGGCCCCCGTGGGCCATGGGGTTCACCGAACGATTTCGGGCCAAAACCCTCCCCGGCACCTCCCCGGCACCGGCGTCAGGGTTGCCCCTCACGGCACCCCGGGCGACCCCGGCACCCGGGCGACCCCGGCACCCGGGAGCCCCCCTGGGCGACCCCGGCACCCAGGTTTCCCCTGGCACCCTCCCCCTTGGGAGCGCTGGTTCTCAAACTGCTCCTGCCCTCGCCATTCCTCCCTGTCCCGTGCCCTTCCTCCTTCTCCTCCTCCTCCTGCGCCCCTCCCTCCTCCACTTCCCCCTTCCTCCTCTCCCTCTGACGCCTCCCCCCGCCATCCCATTGTGCAAAAATATCCTGGCGAGATGATATATTGTGAATGCCGTCGTTGTGAGCATCGCCCTCGGTAAGCTCCCTGTGGAGCCACGAGCCGTGTGAGCGGTGTGCCGTAATGGAGGCGGCGGTGCCATGCGGACCCTGCCACTGGGGCTTTCGGCGGAGCTCCCTACGGGGCCACGAACCGTGCGAGCGCTGTGCCGACATGGAGGCGGCGGTGCCATGCGAACCCTGCCCTGCCACTGGGGCCTTCGGCGGAGCTCCCTATGGGGCCACGAACCGTGTGACGAGTATGCCGACATGGAGGCGGCGGTGCCATTCGAACCTGGTCACTGGGGCCTTCGGCGGAGCTCCCTGTGTGGCCACGAACTGTGAGCGGTGTGCCGAGATGGAGGCGGCGGTGTCATGCGAACCCTGCCACCAGGGCCATCGGCGGAGCTCCCTATGGAGCCACGAACCGCGTGACCGGTGTGCCGACATGGAGGCGGCGGTGCCATACGAACCCTGCCACCAGGGCCATCGGCGGAACGCCCTGTGGGGTCACGAACCGTGTGAGTGGTGTGCCAAAATGGGAGCGGCGGTGCCTTGCGAACCCTGCCACTGGGGCCTTCGGCGGAGCTCCCTACGGGGCCACGAAATTTGTGAGGTGTGCCGAAATGGAGGCGGCGGTGCAATGCGAACCTTGCCACTGGGGCCTTCGGCGGAGCTCCCTATGGGGCCACGAACCGTGTGACGGGTGTGCCGACATGGAGGCGGCGGTGCCATGCGAACCCTGCCCTGCCACTGGGGCCTTCGGCGGAGCTCCCTATGGGGCTACGAGCCGTGTGACGGGTGTGCCGAGGTGGAGGCGGCGGTGCCATGCGGACCCTGCCACTGGGGCCTTCGGCGGCGCTCCCGATGGGGCCACGAGCCGTGTGAGCGGTGTGCCAACATGGAGGCGGCGGTGCCATGCGAACCCTGCCACTGGGGCCATCGGCGGAGCTCCTTCTGGGGCCACGAACCGTGTGACGGGTGTGCCGACATGGAAGCGGCGGTGCCATGCGAACCCTGCCACTGGGGTCTTCGGCGGAGCTCCTTCTGGGGCCACGAACCGTGTGAGCGGTGTGCCGAAATGGAGGCGGCGGTGCCATGCGAACCCTGCCATCGAGGCCATCGGGGAAGCTCCCTATGGTCCCTATGGGGCCACGAACCGTGTCAGGGGTGTGCCGAAATTTAGGCGGCGGTGCTATGTGAACCCTGCCACTGGGGCTTTCGGCGGAGCTCCCTATGGGCCCGCGAAACATTTGAGGGGTGTGCCGAAATAAGCATGCGGAAGCAGCGGCCACTTCAGGTCACGGCATCTCCGAGCCGAGAGATCCGACGACGTGTCAAGCGAAATGGGCTGGACCACCTCTCGTGTAGCGTCTGGGAGCCCAGAATTGCGAGGATGTCTCAGGAGGAGCGGGCCGGACTATCGCAGATCCGGTCTCCTCAAAACGCAAACTTGTGACGATCTATCATGCGAAACGGGCTGGACCACCTCAGCATTTGGATCATATCTCGACGCGCGGGCCTCTCGGGCGGCACTCGTTCTTACCATACCAACGCCCCCCGGCACCGGCTGGGCGACCCGGGGACGCTCCACAACAAATCCTTTATGCCACCAACAAACGAGAACCTCCCAAATGAACTTTCGGAGTTCCGCACGGGTTTCTCACATGGACCCCCCTGGCGCGCTCCGCGCGCCAGGGAGGGGGGGGTCAGCGCACATGCCGGAAATCCGCGCGGAGCTCCGAAATCTCATGTTTATGCCATGGTTTCACTCGACTTGCCCCCGCCCGACGGGCGACGGAGGCGAACGCGCAGGCGTCCTCCTCGAGTAGGGACCAACCACCCTGGCATTCCCATAGGCCTACCACAAAATGCTCTGAGAACTCAAAAACGCTTCAAGAACAACAACAATGTTCTTAGAACGTGAAGCCGATGTGCTAAAACAAGGCAGCACCAGCCAGAAATGTTCTGAGAACATCCTGTGCGAACCACACACAAGAGGCTCTTAGAACATCCTTTGGTGGGCCTGGAAGCACGCCAGGACGCTTCACCACTGCTTGAGTCCTCCGCTCCTCCTGCAGCAAGGCCGCGGCCGACTGGCGACTGGAGCGACGACGCCGCCAGCCGCCGCTCAGGCGGACTCTGGAGCCGCCGCCGCCTCGGGTGGCAGGAGGCAGGAGGCATGGGAGGAGGAGGGATTGAAGGAAGAGGAGGAGGAAGAGGAGGAAGAAGAGGAGGAGCAGGAGGAGGAGGACCAGTGTAAACCCAAGGGTCATCAACGATGCTGGAGTAAACCCTCCCTCCAAGTTCCCTCTTCATAGGCCCCTACAACGGTTCATGTCCATTGAGGGAGCTGTCTCGTTGAAAGACACCCGTTTGAAGACCCTGAAGCATGCCGAAACATTGTTCTCGGGATTCCAACGCCACGGATCAACCTGACTGTTGCGCCTTGACGTTCCTGAATCGCGCCAGAACGCCATTACTAGGACTCAACACAGAGAATCAACGTAACTGTTGCGCCCGCAAACTCCCGAATATATCCAAAACACCATTTCTGGTACGTTGATGATGGGAATCCGTGAAACTTTTGCAAAATTTGTGAACGAATGTACGCGGCGCTAAGGCGAGAGCCGCATTTTGAAAAGGAACCGCCCTCAATCCGTGTAACCCTTGCAAATGTTGTACACGAATGTGCGCCGAGCTAAGGCGAGAACCACATAAAAAAAACCAACCGTCCTCAATCCGTGAAACTCTTGCAAATGTCTAAAACGAATGTGCGCGGCGCTAAGGCGAGAGCCACATGTTGAAAACCACCCGCCCTCAATCCGCGAAACCCTTGCAAATGTTGAAAACGAATGTGCGCGGCGCTAAGGCGAGAGCCACATTTTGAAAACCACCCGCCCTCAATCCGTCAAACTCTTGCAAATGTTGTGCACGAATGTGCGCCGCGCTAAGGCGAGAGCCACATTAAAAAAACACCGGCCCTCACTCCGTGAAACTCTATGCGCGCCGCGCTAAGGCGAGAGCCACATTTTGAAAACGGCCCGCCGTCCATCTGTGAAACTGTTGCCAATGTTTACGCTTCAGAATTATGAATGTTGAGGAAGTCTCAGGCGAAACGCCCAACCCGCCCTAAAAACTAGCCTCGGGGTGCGACAGAGAAAAGTTAGTTATAAGAAAAAGGAATGGAGGAGGAGGAGGAGGAGGAGGAAGAGGAGGAGGAGGAGGAGCAGGGAGGAGCAGGGGAAACGGAGAAGGGGAAGGGAGAGGGGGGGAGGGAGGGAGGGAGTGAGGGAGGGAGCCGCCGCAGCAGAAGAGAAACAGGCCTTGGCCTTCTCGCGCTCCTCGCGTGCGGCCTTGACCTTCTCCTCGACGCAGTCCCAGGTCCTGTCGACGGCCTTTTGAATGAGCCTCGCGGTGTAGTACTGCGCGGTGCCCAGCGTAGCGCCTGCCGCGAAGCCCGCCAGCGTGCCCGGCGGTCCGAAGGCGCTGCCCGCAAAGGCGCCGGCGAGCGCGCCAGCGCCGACGGAACCCACGAGGCTGCCGAGCTCCTCGTCAGGTGGACGACGGCCCCCAGGACCCCCGGGCGCCGTGACACAAGCACGGCGGGCGGCTCCCTGATTGCTTCGGCTTCGGGGGGGCCCTCGCGGGCCCCGTGGCCGCCGAGGAGCGGCTCGGGGCGAGAAGCAGTTCCAGGGGAGTGGGTCGAGACCGCTGGGGGTCGGCGTTGTGACAGGATCATCGCGTCGGGGGCCTGGGGACGACGACGACAGGTGTCGTCTGCTCCTCGTCGCCCCCGCTATAGTCGGCCACGTGCTTGCCCGCGATGGAGCCGATGGCGGAGGCGAAGCCGGCGGGGCCAATGGAGGTTAAGGTCACGGTCCCCACCACCCCGCCGAGGGCCGCCTGGGTGGCGCTCGTCACGACCACGTCGCTCGCGCCGCTCGCGGCGACCTGGTTCAGCACGACAGTCTGTGGAGCAGAAGACGCTGCGCGAAAGGTGCGCTCCAAGGCCTCGCCCTTCCTTCCCCCTACTCCTCCGCGTCCTCCTCCTCCTCCTCCTCCTCCTCCTCCTCCTCCTCCTCCTCCTCCTCCGCCTCCTCCACAATCCCACCAGCCCTTTAGGGCGTGAGTGGTTTAGCGAGCCCCCTCTGTCCTCAACCCCCCTTCTTCCCCTTTGGGGAGGGGTTTACCCCTCCCCCTACCCCCTCCCCCTGGGCCTGGAGAGGGAGTTCCGCGGGTCGTCACGGGGGTAAATTTCGACTCCTGGGAGAGCCAAAAAACGACGACCCTCACGAGGATTCTGGCCCCGACGGGGGGGCACTCTTGTAGCCCCCTCCTCTTCTGTGAAGCCAAAATCATTGCTTTTACTAGGGTTTTGGCCCCAGTTTGGCCTCCCGAGGGGGCCGCGCTCATCTTCCTTCATCGCAAAATCATTGATTTTACGATGGTTTTGGGCTCATTTTGTCCTTCTCAGGGGGCAGCGCTTCTTTGCGCTTCTGAGGAGGTCGCAAGAGGCCCCACGATGGCCCCAAGAGGCTCCCAGGAGCCTCCCAAGAGGCCTCCAAGAGGCCCCCAAGAGGCCCCCAAGAGGCCCCAAGAGGCTGTTTTTTTTCTCCCCCCAAACTTCCAGCGGCTCCCGCCAAGAGGCCCGTTCGCCGCCGACGGCGGCATGCCTCAGGCCTGACTGGCCTGGTTCAGCTGGTCCTCCAGCTCGAACTCGTACGTTGGCTGGCCCCCCAGCCTCATCTGCACCATCATGTTCGCCATGCTCACAGAGTGCAACTGGTGCTCCCCCATGCGGAGCTCGCTCTCGAGCCCCCCGCCGCACAGGCAGGACTGTTCCCTGCTCCAGCGGCTTGCCATTCTGTGGATTCTTCCCAGCCAGGACCCTGCCTCGCTTCTTCCTCTTTGCGTCGTCCTTTGTGGAGCGCCCACGAGGAGCTAGCGGGCCTGGGCATGCCACACCCAAACCCGCCCTTCGCCTCGCCGAGTGTGCCCCGCACACCACACACACGACGTACGGTCCATGAACTTCGACACGATGAGCCCTGTCCTGTCCCTCAGGCTCTGCACGATCTTCGTGTTGTACCTCTGGGCGTGCTGCCACTGCTGCTGCTGCAGCTGCCGCCGCGATGGCCACGCTGGCTTCCAGCGACCTGCCAGTCCCCGAGCTGCTCGAGCCTGTCGCCTGCCACCGTGGTCGTACGCATTCCGCTTGCCACAGCTTTATGCGCATCCTCTTGGACGCCGCACGCATGCCACACCTCATGCATACCTGCCACCCACCCGTCTCCACAATATCGTGCTCGATCAGGGTGAGCAGCGGCTTTGGCACTCTTCGCCTCGGTACTCCTTTTTCTTTGGGCGGCACGTCTGGCCACGCACCGCCCATCTTTTGGTGCCACCATCCTATATTCTGCAGCGCCCAACGCACGCGCCCTGCAAGGTCCTCAAGCGCCTGGTGCTTGCCGTAGTGCGCGTCCTGCTCCGCGCCCGCCTTCGCCAGCAAGTCAACCTCACTGTTGCCCTTCGCAATCTTCAGGTCGCCGCCCTCAAGCTGCTGGATCCTGGCCTTGGACCTGTGGGCCTTCGCGTGCTTCACGCATTGTATATCCAGGTCCAGGTCCTTTACCTTGTGCCAAATCCTTCGCCATAGGTCTGCATGCGGTCGCTTCCAGCTCGTGCACCACCGCTCGCCTTTCTGCAAACCTTCCAGAATGCCCTTGTGGTCTGTGTACACCCGGCCAGGCGGCAGCATCCGCTCCAGCACCTTGAGAAAAGCCCACATCTCTGCTCTCTTAACCCTCCTATGGATCGGCAGTGTACAAGGCAACGGGCCCCACATCTGCATCTTCGCCGTGCCATTGTCGGTGGGCGACATAGCTGCCCAGCCCGTTTGCGCCCAGTCGCTGTACCCGAGCTTTGAGCCATCACAGACGATGTCGCCTGTGAGATAGTCCTCATCACCGTCGACCACCTGCTCGTAGTACTGGTCCTCCGCAATGCCAATGAACTTCCAGTCCGCCTCTGGAGACCTCACCAGCCCCCGCGTCCACAGCATGTTGGTGTCCTGCTGCTCGGCTACGTGCTGCCAGTCCGCCTGCGCCTTCAGACGCTGGTCCCTGAGCGCGCTGCACTTGTAGTACCGATGGTGCTCGGTGCCCACCGCCTCACCGCAGGCCATGCAGATGTCCGTGGGCACGATACTACATTTGCAAAGCTTCTCCATAGTCCACGCACCTCCGATGAAGATCTTCTTCGCTGCATTCTTGGCATGCTTCGGGAACTCACGTGCTCGCAACTGCGCCACCGCTGGTGCCACCAAAGGCATTGGGCTCAGGCTTCTGAGCTCCTCTGCCTGCGTCCACTCCTCCCAGAGGGTCGCCTGCACGTCCTTGCGAACCATCGCTGCGATGTCCATAGGGTACACCTCCTGCATGTTCAGCTCGTAGCCCTCCTTCAAGACAAAAGTATGCCACGCAGGCCACGCCCACTTGGCCCTTCTCATGGGCATGATGACTGCCCCTGCTGGCCCCCGCACTCGGGCCCACGCTGGTTTCATGCCGACCTCCTGCTGCTGCCGTCTCCACGCCTGCTGCAACATGGTGCCCATGCTGTCCCACTGTCCTGCTCCATCCTCGTCTTGTGCGCTATGCCACACTGCTCGCGCCCACCTTGCGATCGGCGCCTCAGTGACCTCGTACGTCGGCTCCTCCTGCGCAACCGCCAGCTGGAGGGTGAGGCTTCGGGCTCCACGACCACCTGGTAGTAATCGTCCTGCCTCACGTCGTAGCTGTCGCAGCTGGTGGTCTGGCATACCTAAGCACTTACACCCGTACAAGACCGAGCGCTTTAAGCCACACTTGAACACCAAGCCAACGCCCCTGGCCATATTGCGCCCGTCCTTCAAAGTGAGCAGCCTCCGACTCCTGGCCTTCATAGTAGCATGCCTCTTGCCGTTCTTAGCCTTCGCCGCCGTACCGTGCGTGGCGATGTCAACCCCCAAGTACGGGCAGGCCCTCACCGCTGGCAGTCCACGCTCTCGCATCGGCCCTGTCACGGCCTTTCGCGCCCACTTAGTGCTCGCCATTACCGCGCCTTTACCCTTGCTGCCCACCGAGAACTTCAGGCCTATCTTCTCGAAGCCTCTGAAGCAACTGTCGATTGTCTCTCCGAACTCCGTAACAATGTACTGGTGCTGCTGTCGTAACCGCACACACAAATCGTCCACATACATTCTCCAGCGCGCCCTTGGCCTCTCCACCACCAAGCCATCCACCGTGGACTGGATGACCATCTTCAAGAAGCACACTGAGAACTTGCTACCCGCGACGATGGTGGCCACCGTCTGGGCCTCGCTGGACACCGGGTCACCCACAATGAGGCGCCTGCCCATGACGAAATATGAGCACACCACAGCCAGCACCCCCGTGTTTGAAGTTGAGTTGCTTGCCTGCTTCCCACAATACGTGCAAGCTGACCTTCTCGAAAGCCTTCACCAAGTCCAACACAGCCGTGATCGTAGCCTGCGTCTCCTCGCTCTGCTCATCCGCGTCGTCCATCTCGTGGCTGAGCAACACCTCCCAGGCCGCGTCCTCCGCCGCCTTGCCGTAGCTCGTGCAATCCCAGCTCCTGTAGTTCTGCTTGGCCCACTTGATCATGCACGGCTCACGCATAATTTCCCGCACCCTGATGGCTGTGGGCAGCAAACCGATGACCCTGTCCGCGGTGAAGGTCTTCGGGATCATGAAGAACAACACTGTGCCCATGTGGATGGGCCAGTACAAGGTCCGTTCCACCTCCATGTAGAAGTCCAACAGCTTGTCGCACGCTTCGTCCGACGCGCCCTGCAGCATGGAGGGGCGCCACCTGTCGACACCGACCCCCGTCTTCTTTCTGAAGGCGCGGGCTACCTCCTTGAGCTTGTCCACATCTTGTCCCGTGAAAGGCTCGAGCTTGTCGCGCTCTTCGCACTCCCACGGTCTTGCCTCCTCCTGGATCTGCTCGCCGACCCTCCAGATCTGTTTCCACTCCCTGAGGGTGTACTCCGCCGCCTCGATGGGGTCTGCCGAGCCCTCCATGGTATCTCCCCTGCGTGGCCTCCATACGGTAGCAGCCTTGCTTAGCTTGTGTAGGCCACCCGCTGCACCTGCAGCCGCCTCCTGCAGCCTGTCTGCCCACCGTGCACGCCTCTCCTTGAAGAGCTTCTGGTCGTACTCCTTCATCTTGGCCTGGCTTTCTTGCATCCATTGCTGCAACTTCGCCTCTTGTAACGCTCCTCGGAGTAACCCAGCAGCCAGCAACCCGCACCTGGCCTGCCACTTGCCCTGCTCCACAGCGTTTAGGTGCTTCGTCCGCTGGCGCGTGATGATGAACTGGTGCTCATGCGCAGTTGCCTCCCGCTGCCGTTGCCTCTGGATGTCACCTGCTCTCGCCATCTTGAGCCTAGAGTATGCCCCATGCAAGTTCTGCAAGGTCTTTGCCAACCACCTCCACCATACTGCTTCTCTAGCTGCTGGCGGAACGTTGGCACCGCCGAAGTTGAGCGGCTTGATCCTCCAAGTCGGCTCCTCCGCCCGTCCTGCTGCAGGATGGCCCGGTGCCCATACTAGACCTCGTACTGCAAAGGCCTCCTGCCCCAGTGTCTGCATATACTGCTTCCACGCCTGGTTGGCCTCCTCCTGCGACCCGAAACTCGCGATGTCCTGGTACCTAGGCGGCGCTGGTGCGCAACCAATGCCCATCTCTGGCAGAGCCTTCGGCTTCTCCAGCACCCTGACCAAGCGCTCCTTCACCTTTAGCCTGAGAGTGAGCCCCACTGGCTTGTGGGGCGCCGACGGCCGCTCCCCCTGCACTCTGACATCCATCACCTGGCTGACCAGGCTGCCCGAGACGATGAAATAGTCGATCTCGCTTGTACCATGCGCATGTCTGCACGTGCCGCACCTGGCTCCTGACGCTTCAACTCGCGCCTTGGCCATCTTGGCGCTTTCTACCTCCGTCATCTTCTCGGGCGCCACCTGGAAATCGCCCCCGATGATCCACGGCGCTCCAATCGCCTCCAATTGTCCAATCACCTTGTTGATGATCTCCGTGTTCCTGAACGTCATACCCTCCGTCGTCCACTAGTAGACCGACGCGTAGATGATGCCCTTACCGACCGCTAACCACGCAGCTACAGGTCTCCCTGGACTGTTGCGCGGTGACAGGTCCCACTTCTCCTTGCCATACAGGTAGGTCATGCCTATGCACCTGGGCGCCACCACCGCAACGCCCGCTGAAGTACCTGCTTCTCCACCTGGCCCTATGGTCTGATTCGCTGCTACGCCGCCGACCTGGTACCCCTGCACCTTCATGCTCTGCGACACCACCGCGATCCTGTCATCCATGAGTCGATGCTCCTGCACTGCGTAGCACTGCAGCTTGCCCCCTTCAGATCCTTCGATCATCTCCTTGATGGTGCCCCACCCCGAACCGTTGAAAGTCCACAATGTGAGGCTCTCATGCTTGTTCTTGCGCAGCCTGCTAGGATCGCTTGGCCCGCTTGTTATGCTCCGCCAGGCTGACGCACGCCTCCATCCAACGCTTTCGCTGTGCTTCGCTGGCGTCCGCGGGAATCCCTCCTGCATGTAGCCACTCTTGTTCTTCAGGTGACAGCTGCGGACCCTGCTCGCGTTCATCTTGCGTTCCTCTGGCTGCACCTGTGCCCCCACTGTTGCCACCAGCAGGAGCGCCACAAGCCTCCTCAGTGTCCATGCCGTCCTCGTCGTCCTTGGGCTCCTCCTTGACGTTGTCCAGCACTTTGCCGAGCGCAGCGAACAACTGCTCGTACTCCGCCTTGCTGATGCCGCTGCCTTCGACGGCACTCTCGTACTGCTTCTGCATGGCCGTGAGGAAGCCCTTGCCTTTGACGGATACGTCCTGGACCTTAAGCTCCGACTCCTTGGCCCTTGCTACCTCAAGCTGCTCCCTCTTCTTGGTGTGCTTCTATTGTGCCTCCTGCATGGCCTTCTGGTGCCGCTTGACCTCGTCGATGATTGCCGCCTCCTCCTTCTCCAGCTTCTCTCTGGCCACCCGTGCCAATGTGAGCTGGACCGAGTGCGGCTTCGTGCTTCGCTTGGCATCCTTGGCTCGCATGTAGCGCTCCTGAGCCTGCTGGTACTCGACCGACTGGTCTCCCCACTCGGTCTTGCAGGACTGGGCCCACCTGAAGAGCTTATCCAAGTCCACAGGCTTCTCGTCGTCATCCTCCTGCGTGGCGTGCTGCTGCTTCTTGAGGCCCTGCAGCTCTGCCCGCATGAAGTCCACCTGCTTCTGGAGAGCTGCCTCCCGCTTTGTCGGGCCCTGCAGCACGTCCTTGTACGTGAGTTCTTTGCGCGGTCCAAATGTCCCACACCCCCGACACTTCTTGCGCGTTGCGTAGTTGTCCGCCGTCCCACAGCTGCAAGACCAGTAGCCGTTGTACGAGCGCGGCCATCCCCCAGCCGACATCGTGCGCCCGTCTGCCGAACGGTAAACCGATCTGCCTGCCGCGGTTTAGCGGTATCCCTTTGACCACCAGGGCGAAAGCCCCAAGTGATAGTCATCTTGAGCCAAAATGGCTACGGAAAGAGGCCCCAAGAGGCCCCCAAGAGGCCCCCAAGAGGCCCCCAAGAGGCCCCAAGAGGCTCCAAGAGGCCGCCAAGAGGCCCCACGAGGAGCCCGAACGACTCACACCAGGACGAGGGGCCCGAACGACTCATACCACGAAGAACCCGAACGACTCACGCCAGAAGGAGGACCCCGAACGACTCACACCAGGACAAGGCGCCCGACCCATTCACACCACGAGGAGCCCGAGCGACTCACACCACGACGCGGGCCCCGAACGACTCACACCACGAGGAGCCCGAACGAGTCACACCAGGAGGAGGGGCCCGAACGACTCACACCAGGATGAGGGGCCCGAACAACTCACACCACGAGAAGCCCGAACGACTCACACCAGGACGAAGAGCCCGAACGACTCACACCACGAAGAGCCCGAACGACTCACACCAGGAAGAAGGGCCCGAACGACTCACACCAGGACGAGAAACCCCAAACGACTCAAACCACGAGGAGCGCTTTCTCTCCCTCCTCCTCCGCCTCGTCCTTCTCCCGCTCCCCCCACAAGGAGGATGTACAAGGAGGCGGGAGAAAGGAGGAACAGGGGAGATATGCGGGGCCAAATGGACACACGCCTGAAAAACACGACTGTCGGCATGCTTCGCATGAGTTGCTGTTGTGAGATGGGCTGGTGGGGATACGCGAAGCGTAAAGAATTACACAATATGAAAACTAGAACCACGCGCGCGCTTCGCGCGCGCTTAGGTTCTGTCGAGTCACAGACCCAGGAATCGTTGCGAGAAGAAAGTGGTGACGCGAAGCGTCGTGGGGGCGTCCTTGGACGTCTGGGGTCTCCTGGGGCCTCTTGAGGGGCCTCCTTGGGGCCTCTTGGCGGCCTCTTGGGGCGGAAGGCTCGAGCTTGCGGTTCGTGGTCCCCCTCTGGGCCCCCTCTTGGGCCCGTCTTGGGGCCCTCTTGGGCCATCTTGGGCGCCTCTTGGGCCGTCTTGGGGCCCTCTTGGGCTGTCCTTGGGCCTCCTTTGGGCCTCTTGGGGGTC